CATCACCCATCGATCCATCAGCTCCACCGGGCTCCCTCGTCCCTCCGGCTCCGCCTTGGTTGGGCGTCGACCCACCATCGCCTCTGGACTCCACTCCTCTGGCTGTGCCTCGTTGCTCTTTCCCACCGGCTCCGTTGGGCTCCTTTCCTCCCGCCAGCTCCACCTTGGTCCTCAGTCTCTCCGGCTCCGCCGCGGATCTCCGGATCTCCGCCTCGGTCACCAGAGCCCTCGGCTCCACCCTGGCCCCCCCGATCCTCGGCATCCCCCTGGCTCGTTGGCTCTCCGTCTCCGCCTCAGACTCCTCCACCACCTGCTCCGCCGCCATTGGTCGCCCCCCTGGAGTCGGTGGCCATTCATCCTCCATGGCTCCTCCCTCTATCGGCTCCACCGTGGGCCGCTGTTATGGCTGTGGCCTGGGTCCTGCTGTGCTCTTCCTGCTCCGGGTCCCTCCTGTCTCCTCCCTGGACTCTGTCTGCCGGGCCCTTCCCGGGCGTCCGTCCTCCTCCTGAGCCTCCTCCCTAGTTTCCACCCACTCCCCTCCCCATGTTGTTTCTACGGTGCGAGGACGCACCTTCTGGGAGGGGGGAGTAATGTCACACCCCTGGACTCTTTGTGTTGTGTTTTCCCTCCCAAGGTGTGCCATGTTCCCTTTAATTAGTCATTCCTTGCACCTGTGTTTTCCCAATCACCCAGTGTTTAAAAGCCCCAGTCCTTTCAGTTAGTGTTTGTTGGTCCTCAAACGTCATTCCTTGTGTTCCAGTGTCTCCTACGTTCCCCGTGTGATCATTAAAGTCTGTGAATTGAAGTTATCGCTGTGTTTCCTCGTTCCTCGCTCCTTGCCTCCCGAGAAGTGTGACAGCGGGCTTCTCTCAAAACACACTCATGGTAATTTGATGCCACACGTGACTAGGGTTGGGAATCGAAAATCGATTCTAATTCCAGAATCGGATACTTAAGGTCAGGAATCGGATACTTGTTGTAAAATGAAAATTTAAATTCTGCCTATCGATTCCTGTGTGCGCTTTTTTTCTTCATCTGTGAGGACCTGACCTAGCAATCTGCTAGGACCTTGCTCGCTAATCTAAGTGCTCCAAAGTTTGGCTACACTTGCGATCAGAAGCCAAAAATTCTAACTATAATATCATTGATAAGCTAAACATGTTGCAAGAGAGGTGTCACCACAAACATGACAAAGCACTTTAATTTAATAGATTGTTAAAGATCGCGAACACGATTCAAACACCAACGTAATTCTATTCCTAAATTACAATGATTCGTCTGTTTCATTCCTCAAACTTTGACATGTGCAATCACAACATTGTGATCACTTGGTTCGTCCATGTAGTGTACGATTACATCAGTTTGATTTGAACATTTAAATTTGCGTCCGCACTGCCGTTGACCTAAAGAGAGCAGCTGCTGTCAAGTATATGAAACAGCATCACAGTATTTTCAACCACACAGTATCATTATTTCTGTGTTGCAAACATTCAAATCACAGAAGTACTGGGATAAAAGTTTATTTCAGATATAAACTCTGATGTGTACGGTAGCGATTAAAATGGAGTAAATCACCTTTTGAAGTAAAGTAGTAATTTGACACTTCAAATGAAGATTTATCGATTACATTGTTACGCCAGTAGGTGGCAAAAAGGGGCTGTTAAAATGTATTTGTCTTTGAATCATACAAGAGATTTTTTTCAAAAACGCTGATTCATCCAGTAAGGAAACAAGTACATCTTGAGTGAGTCATTGAATCAATCATTCATAAATTACATGTGATTTTGTTTAGTTGTCTAATGTTTTTCTTCAGAATTGTGAGAGAACCACAACTTCCATTGAGAAAAACAAAACAAACAAAAACAATTTATCCAAAATCATGCAGCTCTATTTTGCATACAAACAGCTCTTAAAGAGTCCAGTTTTTATGTAACCTGTTGATTTTTGTTCATGGTATTCAGCTCAAATAAATGGTTTGCAAAAAAGAGACACAGGATAAATGTTTGATATCATTATTTAATCACACTGGAATCGAAACTGGGAATCGAAAAGAATCGGAATCGATAAGCAGAACCGGAATTGATCAAATTCAAACGATACCCTACACTAGGGTTGCCACCTTCAGGGAGGCAAAATAAGGGACA